GGTGGCAAGCTTGGTGCAGTGGAGAAACTAACCTTGGTTTCGACCATGTGGATTAGACAGGACACTGCAGCAAAGCGGCGCCACTGTAGCGTACCCTGCATTTCGACCGTGTCGATTGGTCAAGACACCTCAGCGAAGCGGTGGCCTTGTAGTGAGGCCTTTAAGGGGAATCGGGCGTCAGGGTGTGCTTCAAAGGTTGCTTTAATGAGGCACCGGTCTGATTACCCTTGAAGATATCCCTGTACCGGAAGCTCAGAGTGACGTGTGCTAACGTCAGAGGGGGCATCTCCGTGGCATTCGAGGCGACCGCTCCATCTGCAGGCCGGGGAGGGGGCAGCAGCGGTGATCACCCCTGCTGCGAGGTCGCCAATTCCCTGAAGAGAATACGACACATCGAAGTTGCACGCCTGAGTGGAACTATTCTAATCAGTTGAGGGACCCAGCTACTGTTGCTAAACATGTGGACGGTAGTCTATTCTTGGCTTCTCGAAGGTCGCTTTAGCTTGTTGTTCGCAGGCCGCCAATTATACCGCTACGTGAGCTAGTGATGTCGACACAGTTCTTGCTAATGAGTCGCAGCAATCTGTCGCCGACCGATCTTAAAACTCTGAATTCGCCACGTCAGGAAACGACGAACCGTATATAACAAAGACGGCCCTCAGTTCGAGGCAGCATTCTACGCACCAACTAAGGTCAAGCTGTCACCATGGTCATGGTTCCGTATCCGTGAGTCGCGTCGATTTGCAAAACCTTAGATCACTACGGTACAATTACATGATTGAATCCAATGCGCCGCAACATGGCTGGAGGCGTTAAATCTGTTGCAGCGTCGTTCAGGCGCGTCATTGCAACCCTGATACATCCTTTTTGGCGTTCCTGCCTCGGCTTAAAGATGACGCAACAGCCTCTCCTTTCGCAGTTGTCATAACGTGGCCTGGCCCGTCCGTTCTTCGAGGAGAATTTCGCTGTGGTGGTTGGCGCCATAGGACTTGGCCAGGACTGATCAATGACCTGACTGCAATGCGGTTTGGTTTACTTCCTTACACTAGCTAGCTGCCGACACTGTCAATGTGCCGGAAGAACTGACCGGACAAAACTGTGACACTGACACTGTCATGTGCCGAGACTACCGGACAAACTGTGACGCTGACACTGTCATGTGCCGAGACCACCGGACAAATTGTGACGAAGTTCGTCACTTATTGATAGGGCCCGGTCCGGCTGGATTGGCTGGCCACTTTCAGATGTGCTGGGGAGAGCCATTTTCGCTATCGAATTAAGCAACGCATTTTCTAGGCTCAAGCAAAATATTAGGTGAAGGCATTTCAGATTGACAAGTTTTCGCTTGAATGACATCCCAAATATGCCAAGCAGCATTTTAATTGTGGTCTCCTAGACTTTCAAAAAACTTCGGATATTGGTGAGCATTTATTGTGTCCTTCCCCATACGTGAACTACCCCGCTCAGGCCTGCTGACGGGTCCTCAGATATCTACTGCCACTAGAAGTTACGAAAAAAAGCGGCGTGACGGCCAAGTGAGGGGTCCAGATTCTTCTTTCAGAGGAACCGAGCTTTTCACGCAACGCCGATCTCCCAAAAAGGAAGGGACATTTCGTCATACAGCACTGTGAGGAGCATTACTTTCAGTTACCCGATTGCCTGCACATCCGCCCTGGAGCCCACCTTTTTCCTGTTCTTCTGTCACTGTCTGTCTTCTGACACTGTATTCTGTCACTGCATTCTGTCGCTTTCGCAGCCGTCGCTGCTGTCGCAGCTGTCGCAGCTGTCGCCATCCTTGTCTGGGACCCACTGCCTGCGAATCATGCAGAACGCAATTCATATACTCGGATGGGCCGATAACCAACGCTGCATGATGTTCCGCATGTGTTCGCATGGAAAGACGTAGCCCAAACTTTAGTACATCTTTTACGTGGCTTCATATGAGTAAGTTGTGTAGTTTTTCTGCTATAAGAGGCATTGATGTCACTCAAGTAGCATGTGAAACGATGCATTCACAGGCTTCCCTGGGTTGCCTCACGCCACCAGTTTGTTCTTGATTATTCGGCGCAGGCGCTGATTTAGCAAACATTGTAAGCTCGACTTGAATACCAAAAAAGAAGAGCTTATCTTTTTTCTCAGTATGTACCCCTTGTCCTCAAAGTTTGCCCTACCCCTGGGCTTTGGTTAACTTTTAGGAACTCCCGTGTACGTCAGGTCCTACAGGGCGATGTCTCCCCAATGCGCAAATTCATTGCAAAAACTCGCAGACTGTCACTCGGAGAACTTCTGAAAAGAGAATGCAAAAGTCTAGATGCAAGCAAGAGCTTAATACCAGCATCTAGCTCCAGAACCCAGCTCTAGCATGTATCTCAAAGACAAGTCACCAGACCCATGCTCGGTAGTTCTGCCACAAATATCGATAGTCCACGCTATTTATGCATTCTGTCGCCCCCCAAATTAAGCAGCGTGTTCCGTATGTAATTCATAATGGTAAAACAGCAGAACGCCTCAAATGCGCAGTGGGCACCTGAGGCCGCGAGGTCAAGGCTGATTTGCTTAAGTCCGTGGGTGGATTGATCTTGTCCGCGTGAAATCCTACAAGCTTAGCATAATGATGAGCTCATACGCCGTACTTTTACTATGCACGGATCCGGCCATGTGCTTACGTCTCTTCTCCGCTACGGGGCGAACGCAGCCTATTGTGTGGCAACTTCCATGTGTTCCAGTTTTAACCATGCAACACCATGGAGCTCACGGGACCTTGATCGCCGTCCCCTTCGGTCGGGCTGCTGTCCCCCTCCCTCGTCCCTGTTCTGATACGACTGGTGGAAACGCCAGCACTGTAAGCATGGCGCAGCTAGCCTCTGCCGTGGACGCGCCCTTGAAATCTCCTCATCACCTGATCAGATCACTGGCGCTACACCGCACTCTGGCCGTAGGGCGCTGCATACAGGCCTGCGTAATTTGAGGTGGGAGTACTGTTACATGGGCTTTGATCGGCTGATTTTGACTGATATTGCAGCAGGAGTGTGAGTTGAACGAAAGAGCGCACGTCCAACGTTAAGTTGTGGCTGTCTCTTCGCCTTTCTTATGGATCGTAGCCCCCGTGCAGTAGTCGACGGTGAGGTCAGGCCCGGTTCAGCGTGTTCGTGCTGCGGGAGAGGGGCGCTTAAGGCCCGCCGTGACCCCGGAAGGGCTGCGGCGGCGACCACCGACGTCCTGCGCTGTCCCCTGCGGAAGCTACGGTTACCACGCGCGAACGTCTGGCGAGGACTTTCTCTGGGCCTCTGCCCCGGAACAGGGCCCAGAACAGGGCCCCACACCGGCCCACTCCGGGTAGAAATCGGTGGTCGTTCACCGATGCAAACAAGTATCCATAATTCATAACGCCGCATCGGTCGGCATAGCCTCCGACCGTATGCGATCACCATTGTGGCCTTCGGTTCGACCTTCAGGCGTAGTATGGAGATGACCCTCGATGGCGGTAGTATGTCAAGTGATGAGCAGCAGTTGCAAACCGTTGTCAACACGCGGTTGGTACCGGGGTAGAGGACCCCGAAGCGGCCTCGGCTGCCGCGAGGCGATATCGCTGTTTGGCGACAACTGTGGCGCGGGTAAGGCGCCAGGGTGTGCCGTTTGGGTCACGCTCCAACGCCGATACGGGTGCACCGGCTCACCCCTCCCCCAAACGACGCGCCGTATTCGGAGGACGCTGCGGCCGCGGCGCCCGGTTACGACGCCAGACGAACAACGGTCGTACATGCCGCGCTGATATGCAAAGCACGCGGCGGCGGCCGGCGCAGGCAGGGCCCCTCATCTCAGGTCGGTAGTTGGTGCCGTGGGGTCGCCGTGAGTGGCAGC